CCCAACCCCAACCCCAACCCCAAACCCCAAACCCAAACCCAAACCCAAACCCTTTTAGGAAAAATTATGTATTATTTTAATGTTGCTGATTTGTTTTAGTTTATATTTTTAGATATGCATTTGCCAAAATATGATTTTACATAGATATATTTAATATACTTTCAGAATTAGAGTAATTTATTTATGACCATTCACCAAAATGATTGTTTAAATATGAAACTATAAGAAGCCTTATTAAACATATGTGAATATGGAAGAATGAAAGAGTGATTATATAATTTTATAAGGAAGCTGAATTGCCTTTAATTTGTTTATGCTTTTATATTATAATTCAATGCCCTATTTATAATTATTGTAATTGTGGGAAAATTCTATTTCTTTAAGGATAGTAATTATCATTATTAATACATATGAAACCGAGATTTATTTTTTGAATGGGCAGAGCACATCTAGTATAAAAAATATATAAATAATTTTAGAATTTAATATAAACAAATATATTTAGCCAGCAAGATAAGACTATTTATATTAACACAAGATATAATAAATATACTGTGAAAAAGAATAATTTTTTTTACAGTGCTTAATTTTATCCTAAAAAAAAGATTATTCTTTTTCACAGTATATTTAGTATATCTTGTGTTAATATAAATAGTCTTATCTTGCTGGCTAAATATATTTGTTTATATTAAATTCTAAAATTATTTATATATTTTTTCTACTAAATTTTCTTTAAAACATTAAATTTAACATTAATAAAAAAATACATTAAACGAATCAAAATTAAACATAAAATTTAAAATTAATAAAAGTAAACCTTCCTTTAAAAAGCTTCTGCATACAAGCAAAGTATACCCTCAGACCAAGGTTCCCTGAAATAGTTCTAATCCATTTCGTTACCTCGCCTAGGAGTAATAGCGGCTCCGGTTAAAGGTCGTTATGGGTTATAATTAGGTTCCTTTTAATACATAATAAAAGAAATTAGCTCAATTCCATCTTGAGATGACTCATAACAAGTGAATGGATGCTTCCTTCAGGTTAGTTATCCATCGGAAATGGTACATGTACCATCCATTATCATCACGCTACGAATGAAGTCAAGGTAGGCTAAGTTGAGCTATAAAAGTAGAATTATTAGAGCTATTAACTTTAAATTTACAATTCTCTTTTTTTAATCTTATATAAGTAATGGAAATTTAAGTACCTAGGTATAGATCCCTCATAAAAATCCTTGTCGGGATGAGGGGGAGGATGAGTATTAAAAATACTCATCCCTTAATCTGTACTATAAATTTAAAAACAGAAATTAGATAAGAACAGAGGAGAGCTCAGATGAGCAAATAAGTGGAGAGATACTATGGGAGAGTTTTCAGTTTATTTAAAATTTTAAGTTAGTGTTTCTTTACTTATTAATTCATTCTTGAATATAAAATCTTACATTAACAAGATGTTATGTGTATCAATCTAAACTTCTTAACTTCTTTTTCATCTATTACTTGGGATAATTTTTCAAAAATCAAAGTCCTCATTAATTAAAAAACATTTTTCAAATTATTCATCCACTTTTTAAATAAAATTATATTTATAATTGCTTAGTTTAGGTAACTAAAAGAGGATATATCCTTACCTAATTTCCATTATTTGATGGATGAGAAAGGAGAATATTCAATCAGATTATAATTATAAATAAGTATAATAAACACAAGAAACCATAAAATATTTTCTAAAAATGAATAGTTGAGTCAAAACAGATAGTTACTAATATATCATGCAGAATTGATATGGAAGTATTTGAAATAAAAAAATATTAGTTTTTAGCTAAAAAATGATATCCAAAAATTTTAAAGCAAAGCAAATATACAATCTAAAAATGATCTAAAGGATGATATTTAATGAGCATTAAATTAGCCGGCATTTAATTGTTTTACTACTCTGAATTATTAGTATTGCAATTTTCTTATAAAGTGATGACAAGGGTAGTTGCTTTACAATCCCAAAGAATATAGAGATTTTATTAATTAGAAAAAAATAATTTAGCATTTAATCCAACCATTTAAAATAATTTTTAGACAGCTATAATTGAATATTTCATTTTGTAAAAGTGCGCATATTATATTAATCAGATTTTATTGGCTTAATTGAATTTGATTTTCGACACCATTACATTCATATATCCTTCTAAAAATCATAGATTGTAATTTATTATTAGAACGTCAAAATATTAACTAGAATCTAAATTTGAAAATAATATAAAAAATTTTTAAATCGAAATTAAAATGGTTTATTAAACCAACCTCATATTATATTAAAATATTTATCAATTCTATAAGTACGGTAACTGAACAAATAAAATGCCAATGCAAAAAATTTAGGATACAGTTTTTCTTCATCAAATGACACAACTTGGATTCTCATTAACTATATTTGATCTAATTAATCTAATTAAATAAATTTATGTTTTTGATTGTGTCAGCAATTTAAATATTGTTAGCCCATGCGAATTGGGTAATGATTGACTAAAGTTTTGTTGATGGATTCACTTCTAACAATAGTTGGGATCTATCAAAATATTGTGACTATTTTGATAACGATTAAAGTTTTAGAAATAATTCTTGCTAATCAAATTCTATAAAATATGTACGTCTAAAAGATGACAGATAAAGGATGGATAAGATCTACTAGTAAAAAAGTTACTAATCAGAAGTAATAGTTGATATCTTTTTTGATAATGCTGGTGATACATCTGGAAATCAAGCTTATTTCACATTGAACTTAACCTAGAGTTCGTCATCAAGAGATATTATGTAATAAAGAAATTATATATATTCTGATTTAACTCAAAATGCAAGATAAATATGCAATAGTTCAACGCCATAATATTTTGATTTCATAACATATGTAGGTACATCTCCTGTATTATATAAAGAAAAATTTAATATATCTATAGGAATTGAAACTGATGAAGATAATTAAATTCTGGGCGTTAGGAATGTATTTGTTTATGTCAAATATTGTTCACCAACTTGTAAAACATGTTCAAGTTCGACTAGTTGTCTAACATGTGTTTATGGTTCTCTATAAACAGATGGTAGTTGTACTTGTGACCCTTCTCATTAATTTGCTTAAACTGGAATTGGATGTAGATAAGAATGTGAAAGAGATTATTTTATAGCAAGATCAGATAATATTTGTGTTCCAGATAGAAGAATTAAATCACTTGTTTCGTATTTTGAATCTACAACTTTCAGTGCTTATTCTCCTTTTTAGTTTGTTCAAGATTCTGCAAAT